ATCCCCACAAGGCGTATGGACCTCCTGGTATTTCTACCATCTTACACCCCCGTCCCCCAACACACACATCCAATTCCTTGCTAGCATCCTACTTTGTTTTTAATCATTTCTCTCTTTTGAAGGACAATTCTTTAAAATATTTGTCTGTATTCCCTGTTTATAATTAGTCTTCTCTCATGTTCTCTTAAACCCACTCCAGAATAGCTTTTTCCCATAACTGCTTTAATAAAAATGTTTTTCTTAATGTCACCAATGACCTCTATTCTGCTAAATCCTGATCATTTCTCAGTCCTCATCTTACTTGACTTATTATGAGTATTTGACATAGTTTAACTTCCTTCTCTTTAAGGTACATTTAAAAAACAAAACAAAACTTGGTTTCTTCTACTTTTTTGGCCTCTCTGTCAAGCTCCTTTGTTAGGTTTCAATCTTTAACCAGACCTGTTAAGGTTAGAGCACTGGAGGACTCGGTCCTTTGTTCTTTTTACTATTTGTACTCACTCCTTTGGTGGTATCACATACTCTTCTGCTTAAAATTCCAGTTATATATCAAAGGCTATCAGATGTATATATCCAGCCCTAACTTCCCTCCTTAATCTAGATTCAAATATCCTGATCTAATCATCACTGGAAATCTCAAAGATGTTTCCAACTTTGCACACTCAAAACTTAACTCCTGATCTGTCCTTTGCCCTGCAAACCTTCTCTACCCTCAGCCTTCTCCATGTCGGTTGATGACAACACTATCCTTCCAGTTGCACACGCCAAAATCCTTGGAGTCATCTTTGACTCTTTCAGATCACATTCTAACTGTCAGAAAATTCTACTGTCTCAGCCTTCAGGAGACAACCAGAATATAACCACTCTGGTCAGTGCACTGCTACTAACCTTTCTTGCTTAGATTAGAGCAGTAGCCCCTAATCGGTCTCTTTGTTTCTGCCTCTTATTAACCTAAAGTCTGTTCTGGCCACATTCATCAAAGTACACTCTTTTAAGACTTTATTTTTTTAGATCAGTTGTAGGTTCACGGCAAAATCAGAAATTTCCCACATGCCTCCTGCCCCAACATGTGCTTAGGCTCTCCCATTATCAACATCCCCCAGCAACTGATGAACCTACACTGATGTGACGATCACACTCGATGTGATTGATGAACCTACACTGACACATCTTAACCACCCAAAGTCCATAGTTAACATTAGAGTTTATTCTTGGTGTTGTACATTCTGTGAGTTTGGACAAATGTATAATGACATGTATCCATCATTTTAGTATCATACAGAATATTTTTACTGCCATAAAATTCTCTGTGCTCTGCCTATTTATCCCGCCCCCTCCAACTCCTGAAATCTCTGATATTTTTACTGTTTTCATAATTTTACCTTTTCCAGAATGTCAGAGTAGTTGGAATCTTAAGTATGTAGCCTTTTCAGAGTGGCCTTTCATTTAGTAATATGCATTTAAGTTTCCTCCATATGTTTTTATATCTTGATAGCTCATTTCTTTCTAGTGCTGAATAATATTCAGTTGTCTGGATGCACTACATTTTATCCATTTATCTCCTGAAGGACATCTTGGTTGCTTCCAAGTTTTGTTAATTATGAGTAAGTTGCTAAAAAATCAGTGTGCCGGTTTTTGTGTGGACACAAGTTTTCAGCTCCTTGGGGTAGATATCAAGGAGCGTGATTGCTGGATTATGTGGTACGTGTATGGTATGCGTTTTGTAAGAAACTACCGGTCTTTTTCAAAAATTTCAAAATATATTTATATCTCCCCTCTGCTCAAAAGCTTGCAATGGATCCTGTTTCATTAATAACAAAAATCAAAAGTCCATATGATGTTTTTACACGATCTGGTCTCTCCATTCTCTCTCTGCCAAGCAGGAGTGGAGGGAGGGGAGTGGTTACTCTTGCTGTTTTTAAAATAAAGCAGATTCCTTTAATAGACCTTCGAACCTCTGCACCAGCTTTTTCTCTTTCTGCAGTACTCTTCCCACAGATAGCTGTGTGGATCACTCCCCTAGCTCTATCCAATTTTTGATAAAATATTGCCTTCTCAATGAGACATCATCAAATATCACCCTGTTTACAATTTCAAGCTGTTTCTCCACACATTATAGTCTCTTTCTGGTCATAGCTAGTTCTGTGGCCTTTTCCGTACACTCAGGATGCCCTGGGGATCTGACCCTCTCTGCGGTCCTCTTTGCAACAAGAACTCAAGCAGTTTGTAAGAGAATTAGCTTTACTTCAAGAGAATCCTGCCGAAGTTTCTAGGTAGCAGAACTAACACCTGTATGTACTTTATTTTTAAGACTGGTACTGGTGGGAGGTAGCTGTGATGGAGAATGAATGGAAGTTCATCACGTGCCCCTGAGGGGCTACTCAACTAGTAAGATATAAGCCCCTAAAGTGGTCCTGCCCACCCAACATCATCTGTCATTACCACACCCATCCCAAGTATGCAGCAACATGTGGACATTAGAAACTGCCTGGGAGTCATGAGACCTCTGCTGTACTGGTGCTTTGCATGCTCTTTTGTCACGTGTTGCATCCTTTCTTAAAGCTCAGTGGTACACTTGGTGCTGGATGACGCCTCCAGTGCCTCCTGAGTGTGATTGTCAATTTGAACCTAAGACCACCACTGCTAGTAGAGCAGGATAGGCATTTATAATCCCAGTTTCTTTTACTTTGATCTAATTTTTCTTTTTTTCCATGGCACTTAGCAGCTTTTGACATTCTGTACAATCTAGTTACTTATGTTTATTGGCTATGGTCTGCCTTCCCTCGCTAGAAGGTAAGCCTTATGATGGCAGGAATTTTTGCCCCCCTTCCCACTTTTTTTTTTTTTACTGATATATCCCAGACATCTAGAACAGTGCCTGGCATACACTAGATAGTAAATATTTTCTGAATGAACGAGTGAGTGAACAAATGTTTGTTTAATATTTCTTCAGTGCCAAGCATAGGGCATGGAGAAGAGAAGTAACAGAATTTCTGCCTTTATATTTCTTGGAGCTTAGAGTATGAGTATGGTTGTTAATGAGATTGGCCACTTACAAAGATCCTTAGGGAGGATTCCCAAGTCATATCACAAAAGAGAGTTTTGCAGAAATGTATTTCAAGGTTGGAGAGGGGTGGGACGTGGTGGAGTTAGGTAGCAATGACAATATAAAAGAAAGCTTGAGTTTATTTTTTTAAATTTTTAAAAAAATTATTGAGGCGACATTGGTTAATGAAATCAAATAGGTTTCAAGAAAGCTTGAATTTAATCAATTATATTTACATATATGAAAGAAGACTGTTATTAGAGGAGATTTTATATGTTGGCATTGCCCGAAAAGAAAAACCCCCAACACAGAAATCCTTCACACAATTTAATCTTCATTTTGGTCCAAAGGAGGCAGAGCTATGCAGAGTGTGACCCCACAGAGCTCAAAGTAGCCTTAAACAAAGTTAAGCAGGGTTACCGGTAAAAGATCACAGTAGAAAAACAACAAAAGCGTTTTAATTTTTTTTTATAAGCCACTACTACCTTTGTAGGTATCATTGTAGTCTTAGAAATTTTAGTAAATGATAATCATCATTTGGTGTAGTATCTAGTTAGCTTGCAGATAGTAATTTAAAATAATAATCTAGTTCCTTTTAATACACGGCTAGCTACATAAGTAGGAAAGATTTCTAGCATGGGCAGATGGGCTTTTGTGTAATTTAAAGATGCCAAAGACAGATGTTAACTTATAAAAAATCTCTTACATTTTAAAATACATTTACATCCCCATTCCTATGCTCATGCTGTTTATTTTTTCCTGGACTTATCTCCCTGCCATATCAACTCTTGCAAACTCCTCCTTGTCCTCCAAAATCTACCCAGAGTCACATTTTCTTCTCTGGCTTTTCTTGGCACTGTCTTCCAACCACAGATTTCCCCACTTAAGATTAATTGATTAATTGTTTCCTCCTTTGTGTTCCTAAATCATTTATCACTGGTGTGGGTGTGATTTATTCACCTGCCTCCGAGTTTCAAGGGCATATTCATCACCTTTGTTTTCTCTAGTGACTGGCACAGTCCCTGTCTCATGATACATGTTCAATAAGTAGATATTTAGTTTGAAGTATGGAACTGTTTTTATCCTGGTCACTGATTCATCCAGCAAGTATTTATTAAGGGCATTTTATGTACAAGGTGCTGTGTCATATATTGTAAAGATACCAAAAATATCAGTTGCCCAATTTCTTAAAAACCTAAATATAATGTAATAAAACATAAGTCATGCATGAAAGTAACTATAATACATGGTTGAAAGCGTTATTTTCAAAGAGGTGTGCATGCGCACACACGTGCGTGTGTGTGTGTGTGAGGTTCCTTTATACTAGGGTTCAAGAATGTTGTCTTATTGACTAAGGAAATATTTTTCCTTCTTAAATAGCTAAAAAGCTGTGATTCAAAACTATGTTTGGTTTTTTTTTGGTGTCTCACAAATTACATTAAATTCTATCCTAGATCTAAAAATATCTCTCTCTTCCTCACTTTATCTTGATGTACTGTTATAGATTATTATATTAAAGCACTGCTCAAGGTTATGCTGCTACTTGCCAAAGAGTCCACATTTAAAGTAGAGAAAGTTTCATTTGGTGCCTTAAGGTATGAATTTAATGCATTCCCTGGTTTTGAAAAAACACCTTAAGTGATAAATCCTTTACATGTTGCTGCAACTTCATTCCTAATTGCCATTAGGAAACTGGCTATAGAAAGCTTTTGACAGAAGTTAACAATAATGTCATTGAAATGAAAGATCCAAACCATATTTAATGGAGAATTTTTTAAAACTTTGGTAAGCATAGTTTGAATGCTCAGCATTTAATTGTATTTAAGCCAGTAGCATTAAAAAAAAAAAAAAATTGGTAGATTGCATTTTCCACATTAAGGCACAAGATGTTAATAGTTTAAGTGAATATGAACTTTAATTGATGGTCACCAGCAATTTTTCTCTTTTTATTTAGACTTGGATTATCACTTGCATTTATCTTCAATTGCTCCTATTTAATCCCCTCGTCAAAACTACAGGGATCTGCACGAACCGCATCACTGATGATGTGAAAGACGTTACAAAATTGGTGAGTAAGGAATGCTTTCAATAGTTGTGACTCTTTTTCTTGTGCCTTTTGAAAAAGCTTTTTTTTTTTTTTTTGGCCTCAAATTGGTAATTTTCTAAGACAAGGAAAGAAATTACTGAGGTATCTAAGGGACTTCTAGAGAGAGCAGGTAGGGAGATATTTAAAGTCATAGAGGATCTGTTGGTAAAATTGGCCCATGGCGCACCACTGCAGTGATTTTGTTTCTTTGCTGGTATTTTCATCTCATTCACAGGCAGTGAAGGACACTGGAGAGTTCTCTATGTGCCGATGTGCCAGCTATAGCTTGTTCCCCATTACCTCTTCAGTGGGTTTCGCAGCATGTCTTATTTCCCCTCCACATGCCTTCCTACTCTTCTTTAACAAGCCTAACAAAAAGAGAGCTGAGATGGCCATCCTCCCCTTTCCAACAGCTTGAAGACATGTGAGTGTGTGTTTGCTCCCTCAGTGAATGTAGTTGGACAAGTCATTTGTTGCTCAAATGTTGACCAGACTCATCTCCCACATTTGCCACATTGGAACTCTTTCCTTAGCAAGGGCCATTTCACACTGGTGCCGTAAGTCACTACTGCCGTAAGTCATGCCATGCTCTTCTTAAAATGCAGACCAGAGAGAGAGAGAGGGCATAATGCAACATCTGGAATGCATTGTTCCCAACTCTTGTCATCTAGGGAAGATTTTCCATGCTCATTTGTGCTACAGAGTATGATTCCAGGATGAACAAAGCTTGAGAGGCATTTTTTATAAGCTCCTGGTTCAAAATAGCCAAGTGGCACTCACTTATTTGAATATTATGTAGGGAACAGGTGATGCGAGATTAGGAATGATGGAAAACGGGGGTAGTAACATGTAGAAAGAAAGAAAAGTATGTATGTTGAGATCTTTATCTTTCCTACTCTTGATATACATTTCCTGGTTTATATTTTTATTGTAGGTTCATAGCTGAACTTCAAAACAAATTTAATGCTACGGTCCGAGGCGTATTGCTTAGCCTCAGTGCAGAATTAGTAACACACAGGCACCCACCCACCAGCCCCCCACTCCCAATTTATGAAGATTCCTCAGAAGGACACCCAGAGGCTGCAAGTTTAAAAATATTCTCTGATGCAATACCTGAAGATGTATTAACATGTTTTATCTGAGGGGCTGGTGACCAAAGCAGTGCAACAGATGCCTACTGTGTGTCCGACTAGATATTGGGTATTAGGATGGGAATGAAGGGGAAGTATTTTTTTAAAAAGCATAGATCATGGTCCTCTTTTTTAATTTGCTTATTAGTTTGTGACCCAAGAAACTATATTAAAAAGAAAATATATGTTTATATTCTAAATTTTTTATCAGTAGAAGGCACTCTTTAAATGTCAGTTCGACGAATGAAAGAAATAAGGATGTACTCCACCAGGTCTGAGAATTGTAGTCACCTGTGGCGCTTATTAAAATTACAGGTGTCTGGACCATACTAATTCGATAGGTCTGAGGAAGGACTCCAGGCATCTACATTTTTAAGATATTTCTGAAAGGAAGTTTAAGATCTATTGCTCTAGATGGTGTATTCTGTCAAACTTTAGAAACCGAAGTGTTTTGACTCTGATTTAATCTCAGTTGTTTTTATGAGTAGTTTTATATATGTCGTACAAATTTATATGGATGTCAGATTAATATGAGTCCCCAAAATATGTTAAAGTAGATCACAGTTGGGTAATGAGAACTCTCATGGAGCTGTTGGTATAACTGTGGAGCTGAGAATGAGCTGGGGCAATCTGCAGTGGTCCTGGGGAGCAAATTTCAAATATGTGGTCACTGAATCACAGTTGGAAGATGATGGTGCACCTGACCACAGGCAGCATATTCAAGATTAATGTAATATTTAAGAAAAATTACCTGTAGGCATTATTTTTTGCTAAGTGTTTTAGTAATACTACTTCATGACTACAACTACCTGTGAAATGTCAAATGCATATTTTCAAGTGGTGTAAGTAGATACTATAAGCATTTTCCAAGATTTTTCATTTTGTCTTTAACCATCCCCCTGTTTTTCATCTGTTACTTATCAGTTGATACAATGAAAAATGGCAAGAAGCACTGAAGAGAAAGAAGCACCTACAAAGGTTGCTTATTAATATTGGTACTAAAATATAGTTCCTTGCCCTAAGGGCAAATATGAAATTATTAAACTGAAAAAAGGTTTGTTTTTCCTCCCTTCCAGCAACTGACTCAGGGGGAAACCTTTTAATTTCAAGAGTTCATCTAATGAAATTAGCATGTTTATTCAGATTTGTGGGGGAAAAAATGAAGATAGTAAAAAATTGGATGCAGAAGATCACTTCTAATTGAATAAAGACCTACATAATGCATAGCCTTTATTTATTGAGTAGTAGGCAATAGAAAAATATAAAATAATTTCTGATCTCAGAGTGAAAGTCATCTCTGTGAATATATGAATGCATATCACTAACACCACTAAAAACAACACATAAATGGATACCATTTTACAAATGTCATGGTATAACATAGGACTCGACCTGTGCTAATATGTTGGTTAAGAGAATGGATTTTGGAATCAGGCAGACCTGAATTTTAATTCCTAGCTCTTTGATCTTGGATAAGTAACTACCTTTCTAAATCTCACTTCCTACTTCCTAATTTTTTGGTATAGATTAAATAAGAGAATTCATATATAATTTTTTTAACCACAGTTATTATCATATAACCTCTTTATGCCTCAGTTTCTTCATCAGTATAATTGATTAATAGTACTTAACCTTGTAGAGAGATTACAAGGATTAAATAAATTAATGGAACAGTGCTAGAAACATAGCGCATACCTGCTATTAGCCATAAATATTGGTAGTAATGGTGGGCTCATAGGATACTGGAGCTGAGAGGGATTTCAAGACAAACTATTTTATAAATTAAAAAAACCGAGACCCAAGAGTGGTGAAGCTGAGCTCCAGTCCCATTGCCAGTGCTGTGTCTTCTAAAACAGTAGTTTTCAAACAGGTCCTAGAGCCCACCCAGCTGCTCTGCTTTTACATGTATCTAGGTTTCCAAATAAGAGTTGAGTTTATTGAAAGCCACTGCTTGAGAACCATCCAATGTCATCTCTTAGAGTACTTATTAAAAGTACAGCTGTCAGGGCCCCCACAATCCTACCTCAAAAATGCCAAGTCTCAACTTGTAGAAATGGGGTGGAGGGACCCTAGTGTTTCTGACCTGCATCCCGGATGATAATTATTTGCACAGCAGTGCCAGGACTGCTGAGGCCATAATACTTATAATGCTGGGGTTTTTTTCCAGGTTTGGAAAGAAGCTGTACCTAGGAATACCAGATGCTGTAGGCTTTAAAAAAAAAAAAAAAGGAAAAGAAAAGAAGCTGTGTTCCCATCCTTAGACTAAAATTCATTAATTTCACTAATTCAAACAGCCACATGAGTGACTTTTGAGTTTTATGGGCATAGATCATTACAGCCTCTCTCTAAAGGACAGTGAGGGAGAGCACCTTGAAGTCTCTAGGAGTACACGATGTTTGAATCCCAGCTCTGCTATTACCTTGCTGTGTGACCTTGGATAAATAAATCTCAATCTTTCCAGGATTCCATTTCTGGTTTTTAAAATGAAGAACAAGGACATGATCAATAGTTCTTAGTCCAGAATTCATAAACATCAATGCCTTGTAAAATGGAATTCCAAATTATGCCTATGTGTGCCTGCCTACAGTACATTTCTGAGAAGAAGGTGCCTATCTTTCATCTGCTTCCCGGAGAAGTCTGTCACCCCCACTCCCTGAAAAGATAAGAACTACTAAATTAAATAACTTTAGAGGCCCTTTTAGCTCTGAAATTCTTTTATTCCATAACAGTACTTCTTAAGGTTGCATATTTTGGAATAATTCAGTCATGTCTTGACTAACAGAGGTTGTATAGAATGAGAGAAATTTGCTTGGTACATTTTATTTGAGAGAAAGAAAGTGGATTGATAGTACATTTTTGCCTTGCGCTCACACTAATTTCTTCAGCTGAAATCATTCCTTCGCAGGCTCTGCCACTTCCTCCTTTGCGTTAGATGGCAACTCTTACTGTGCCCACAAACTTTAAGTTGGTTTGCTTGGGATGATTGTTATGTTACAGAAGCACATGACTTATGACTTTAGACTTTAATGTCATTTATTTTTTTTTTTAATTTCTTCTTGGACACTTTGTCCTGCCCCTATAATCCCCATGGTTTTCATTTGAAATCCTTCTGGCATGTTTACTCAGCATAATCGTTCATCTATTTATGGAACATATTGCTTTGTTTCTAAAAAATGTTGCAAGACTTGTTTTAAATGGCAAACTCAGACCTACCTAAAAAAGGGTCAAGTATCTGGGAACAGAATGAATCAAACTTCTAGAACTTGCATCTAGATGACAGTTAGGCTGCAGCTTATAATGTTGTAACTGTTCATGTAAGGAGGAGTCCAAATATTGAAATAGTTCAAATTAATTTCCATTTTTCTTTTTCCTGTTGTTCACTTCATTTGTGGTGATGTTCTTCCTTCATCTGGGGAAATTCAATTAAATGCGTTAGTTGCTTTATAAACCTTTTAGACTTCAAATTTATATTGAGTAATTATTTGTTTTTCTCAAAAAAATGCTTTTACAAGGCAGATGGCTGTCCCAGCTCCATCTTGTAAATGTGAAACTACTCTGTCTTTTCAAGGTCAGGGTCCATAATATCAGTAGAATAGAGTAAAACTCAGAAATTCTTGGTTTTCCTGGTTTTGTGATAGGCACTTTAAGTAGGTTATGTTAATATTATATCACTCTTGGAGTTTAACATAATGGGAGATTATAAAAATATCCTCATATAACAAATTTTCACAGTTTGAATGGACAGTTTTGAATAATTTTAATTTTTATTCTTTTTCAAATATAGTTTTCTTCAAGTAGAATTACCACTGCATTAAAATGGAGGATTGGATTTTCCGAGTCTTTCCGTTTTCT